AGAGAAAGAAAGAAAGGGAGAGAGAAGAAAGGAAGAAAGAGAGAACCGGTAGGAAAATTTTGAGTAGTTTGGAGAACTGGTAGCGGGAATTTTGAATAGTCCAGAGAACCGGTAGGAAAATTTTGAGTAGTTTGGAGAACTGGTAGCGAGAATTTTGAATAGTTCAGAGAACAATTAGCGGGAATTTTGAATAGTCCAGAGAACCGGTAGGAAAATTTTGAGTAGTTTGGAGAACTGGTAGCGGGAATTTTGAATAATTCAGAGAACTGGTAGTGGGAATTTTGAGTACGGTAGTTTGGAGAATCATTAGTGAAAATTTTGAGTAGTTTGGAGAACTGGTAGCGAGAATTTTGAATAGTTCAGAGAACAATTAGCGGGAATTTTGAATAGTCCAGAGAACCGGTAGGAAAATTTTGAGTAGTTTGGAGAACTGGTAGCGGGAATTTTGAATAGTTCAGAGAACTGGTAGCGGGAATTTTGAATAGTCCAGAGAACTGGTAGTGGAAATTTTGAGAAGTTTGGAGAACCATTAGTGAAATTTTTGAGTAGTTTGGAGAACTGGTAGCGGGAATTTTGAATAATTCAGAGAACAATTAGTGGGAATTTTGAATAGTTCAGAGAACCGGTAATGAAAATTTTGAGTAGTTCAGAGAACTGGTAGCGGGAATTTTGAGTAGTTTGGAGAACCTTTAGTGGAAATTTTGAATAGTTCAGAGAACAATTAGCGGGAATTGTGAATAGTTCAGAGAACCGGTAGTGGGAATTTTGAGTAGTTGGGAGAACCGGCAAATGCCACCTCTGGCTGGACCCAGAATGGGGAGGGAGTGGGGATTTTGCAGTATCCTTCCCCTGCCACGCCCGGCAAGCCACGCCCACAGAACTGGTCATAAAAAATAAATTGAATTTCACCACTGGGTGGGATGGTTGCTGCCCCCCTCCCAACCCCTTTCCCCCCCCCCACCTCCAGGACAGCTAGCAAAGAAGGAGTGAGGGCAGGCGCATCACAGAAGGCCTTTCAGAAGCGATGCAGATGTTCGTCCTCGGTGGCAGAAGCAGCAAGGGAAAAATCTGGGGTGGATGACACCGAGGCGCACGGCGTCACAGACGAGATAGAAGGCTACTGTTCCCCAAAGACTCCTACAGATCGGGAACCCTGTGGTTTTTCTCCCGGGGGACGAAAATAATAAGCGGTGAAGGAGTCAGCTTGGCTGCAAAAGGGGGATTTTTTGGGGGGGGAGAGGCGGTCAAGGAAGGGCCGACTGGGCGGCTGAAGGAAGCTCGGCCACCTGGCTGGGTCTACTTGTGGGAGGAGTTCGGTGTGAGGGTGGGTCTCATCGGCCAAACTGCAAGCTAGAATTGAACGGGTGAGCATTTAGGAGCTGGGAAAGTTGGTTTGTCTGCATGCAGGTCAACTCCTTGACGGAGAGACGAGAAGGTTCTTATGAGGAGGACATCATGGGGTAACTCTGGCCTCCGTTGTGTGGGGGGGAGGGGGGGTCAGCTTGTTGGGGAAGGTCAGAAGACCCCGTAAGTGTCCTGCCAATCTTCAGGACTAGGAATCGGATTGAGAACGAGAAGGAAGGAACGAATCACGGGAGAATCTGGTGGGACACAGTTGTTCTTCTGGGGGGCAACGTCGTTCACTCCTCAAAACCAAGCTCATCTCAAAATGAAACGGGGAACCCCAAACCCCGACCGGATCCCTAGTGGAGGGGATCCCAACCGGCTCCCCAATCCAGCAAATGATCCCAACCAGGAGATTTGCTGGTTGACAAGTCAGGGCATCGAATGGCTTCAGACAAACCTCCATCAGCATTTATCCCAGGTTTAGAGATGTGTGGCCAGTACAGTCTTTTCTTTCTTTCTTTCTTTCTTTCTTTCTTTCTTTCTTTCTTTCTTTCTTTCTTNGGTGGGGGGGAAACTTTAACCCCAGGGAGACAAAGTGAAAAGGCTTTTTTACCTAGGGAGATTCATGCCAGAATCTGCATATCACCGTATCCATTTCAGTGGGGTTTTTAAATTTTTTTTATTTTTTAAAGAAAGATGTTAATAGGATTGGGAGATCAGAGAATCGAAAGGGGAGGAAAAGAGGGTCGTAGATGGCTTATTCCTCAGAACAGTATTGAACAGACGACAGAGAGGCATGCAAAGCTCAAACACACAACACGCACGCACACGCACGCACACAACATACACAGTTGTCATGCAAAGCAGAGATTGTGCTGGAATTATCGGCTGGTCCTCCCCAAAATCCTGTTAATTTAAACCTGCTTCCGTATTTTTTTGGAGGGCCATTCTGGACGTTTAAAATTATAATTTTTTTTTTAAAAAAAAGACGTCACTCCAATAGAAAAAGGATAGAAGTGGGGTGCAGGATGCATCTGTGGCTGTTTTCTTGCAGACATCTCATGACCCAGCTGGGTAGTATCATCAGTGCTGATATTGTTACCTATCATGTCTATCTACAGTAGTGGCCAAAATTGTGGAAACCTTTTGGGAAAAGCGTATCTTTGGAGGTTTGATGGCTAATAACACCACTTTCTTTTGGAGTAGTATAAAGGGAGAAGGGTTTGCAAACTGGAGGGGGAGGAAGAGGAGGGGAAAAAGGACGACGGGGGTCCTTGGTGCTCTCGGAGCTTGGTGGTTTTCTTGCAGACATTTCACAACCCACCTAGGTAACATCATCAGTGCTATCTATCAGTGTCTATCTATAGTAGTGGCCAAAATTGTGGGAACCTTTTGGGAAAAGCGTAATCTTTTGAGGTTTGATGGCTAATAAACACCACTTTCTTTTGGAGTAGTATAAAGGGAGGAGGGTTTGTGGACTGGAGGGGGAGGAAGAGGAGGGGAAAGAGGACGATGGGGGTCCTTGGTGCTCTCGGAGCTTGGTGGTTTTCTTGCAGACATTTCACAACCCTCCTAGGTAACATCATCAGTGCTATCTGTCAGTGTCTATCTACAGTGGTGGCCAAAATTGTGGAAACCTTTTGGGAATTTGAGGTTTGATGGCTAATAACACCACTTTCCTTTGGAGTAGCACCAGGACATTATATATCAACGGAAAGATAATTTAATCAAGAACGTAATGCAGCAAGGTTTGTTCAATTATCTGTACTCTGCNACTTTAAGAGGGGTGGACTTCAACAACCCAGAATTCTGGGAGTTGAAGTCCATCCTTCTTACAGTGGTCAAGGTTGAGAAACATTATCTAAGGCAGCATTCCAGTTTTGCCTTCAGTCATCGGTGATGCCAAACCTGTCAGTTCACACCTGGCGACGTCGGCTCTCCCCACCTGGGACGCCCCCCCACCCCCAATGAACCTGGGCTACCCGATGAGAACGACACTGCAGGGTTGGCTTTACCTGAAGAGCTTTTTTGGCTCTCTTTGAGCTTCTGCTCCAGATTCTTTACTTTGATCTCCAGTTTCACCTTATCGGACTCCAGGGACTGGACGACCGAGTGCAAATTCCTGGCTGTGGCGTTTTCTCCACGGAGCACCGAGACCTGCAGAAGTCCCAAAAGGAAAAAAGGGAACACAGTGTGAATTTAATAAGGCCACGGAAGGGAAGAAATGAAGGGCGTGAAGATGGTCTAACCACAATTGAGCCCTTACGTTTCTATTGCTAAGTGAACCCTAAAGGAAAGGAGGGAGGGAGGGAGGGAGGAAGAATGGAAGGAGGGAGAAGGGAGGAAGGAGGGAGAGAAGGAAAGAGAAAGGAAGGATGGAAGGAGGGAGGGAGGAAGGAGGGAGGGAAAGAAAAAGGAAGGATGGAAGGAGAGAAGGGAGGGAGAGAAGGATGGAAGGAGAAGGAAGGAGGGATAGGAAGGAAGGAGGGATGGAAGGAGGGAGAGGGAGGGAAAGAGGGAGGAAGGAGAAGGAAGGAGGGAGAAGGGAGGGAGGGAAAGAAGAAGGAAAGGGAGGAAGGAAGGAGGGAGAGGAAGGAGAGTGATGAAGGAGGGAGAGAGGGAGGAAGGAGAAGGGAGGGAGGGAAAGAGGAAGGAAAGGGAGAAAGGAAGGGAAGGAGGGAGAGGAAGGAGGGAGGGAGTGAGGAGGGAGGGATGGAAGGAGGGAGAGGGAGGGAAATAGGGAGGAAGGAGGGAGTGAGGAAGGAGGGAGAGGGAGGGAAATAGGAAGGATAAGGAAGGGAAAGAGGGAGAAGGGAGGGAGGGAAATAAGAAGGAAATGGAGGAAGGAAGGGAAGGAGGGAGAGGAAGAAGAGTGATGAAGGAGAGATGGAAGGAGGGAGGGAAAGAGGGAGGAAGGAGAAGGGAGGGAGGGAAAGAGGAAGAAAAGGGAGGAAGGAAGGGAAGGAGGGAGAGGAAGGAGGGAGGGAGGGAAAGAAAAAGGAAGGATGGAAGGAGAGAAGGGAGGGAGGACNGCCTCGACAAAATCTCGCACTGTTAAAAAAGAAATCTCGCAGACAGGAAGGCACTACTTCTAGATCTTGCACCAGTAGCACACGCGCGAAGGTTTTCGCTCACGCGTGTCGGTTGATCGAGACTTTCCTCGAAGCAGAGGAAAAACAGAAACGAACAAACGTTTGGGAAAATAAGAAAATAAGAGCTCGTCTCGTGAACCCATTCCAGTGTCAGAACGTGACAGAAACAAATGTACAGCTTGAAAGGAGCAACGTAGTGCAAATAAGAGACATTAACAGCATCATTTCAAAGAGCTTTTAAGTGAGCTAAAATAGAACTCGGGGCCTGCTGGTTTGACACCCCCACCTCCTCCCCCCCCCCCCCCCCAAATTAAGCCACGTGACCGGAAATAAGTTTTCTGGATGCAAAACCAGGAAATGAAATTTCTAAATGAAAATTGGCAGCCCCTGTTAAATTATTTATTTTAATTCCATCTCAAGAAGGGCAGAATAAACTATCTTGCTTGTGGAAGACCAGATCTCCCACTGCGTCTTTCTAAGCTGGGCGGCTGCTGCAAGGAATTCTGGGAGGAAAGAGTGCCGGTCCCTTCTCTCTCCTTCTGGCCCCACCCTAGGAGACTGGTGGTTGGAGGACAAGGTCCAACTAGCGCCCGAAGCAACGTCCGTTCTCTCCGCTCCTGCCCTGTGTCAGAAGGTCTCGTCGTCGTTGCAATTGGCGGTCCAGTGTCCAAACATCTCGCAAATGGTGCAGTACGGGCGTTCCTCTTTCCGACTGCCGTGGTACGTGGAGTGGGGGGGTTCCTCGGGCGCCTGGGCTTGCGTGGGACAATCTTCGGTGTCGTGGAGGTCGAAACAATCGCAAATGTCGCAGAAGAGACGAGGCTTCCTCTTGACTTGGTTGTCCTCCTCGCTGTGGAGGCAGAAACGGTTTAGAAAAGCTGACGGGCGCCCGCGGGTCGTGTTGGGAGACTCGCGGTTGAGGAACCAAGAGCAAGCAAGAAGTTGGGATTTGGGTTTTTCAATTATTCACGCTAGTGTTCCTCAACCTTGGCCGTTTCTAGAGGTCTGGACTTCAACTCCCAGAATTTAAGAGGTCTGGATTTCAATTTCCAGAATTTAAGAGGTCTGGACTTCAACTCCCAGAATTCCCCAGGATCTGGCCTCTCTGGAGAGCAGACTCTATGGTTGCTGGAACTCCAACGCTTTAAGCCAATTTTCCTCAACCTTGGCCATTTAAAGAGGTGAGGGCTTCAACTCCCAGAATTTTAAGAGGTCTGGATTTCAATTTCCAGAATTTAAGAGGTCTGGACTTCAACTCCCAGAATTCCCCAGGGTCTGGCCTCTCTAGAGAACAAACTCTATGGTTGCTGGAGCTCAGCGGATTGGTTTATCCAACGCTTTAAGCCAATTTTCCTCAACCTTGACCATTTAAAGAGGTGAGGACTTAAACTCCCAGAATTCCCCAGGATCTGGCCTCTCTGGAGAGCAGACTCTATGGTTGCTGGAACTCCACTGCCTTTAAGCCAATGTTTCTCAATCTTGGCCACTTTAAGAGGTCTGGAGCTCTGCTGGTTGAGGAATTCTGGGAGTTGAAGTCCAGACCTCTTAAAAGTGGCCAAGGTTGAGGACAACCGCTCTACGTCATCCAGCTGCGTCCACCCATAAGCCACTCCCAAGTAAAACGGCCACCCGAACCCCCAATTTTTCCAACCACCCACCTGTCGTAGTTAATAACTTCTTCCTCGTCTCCGTTGAGAGCGGCCTCAGACATCTTGTTCAGTTTCGATTTTAGTTCGGCGTTTTTCTCTTGAAGGTCCACAATGACCGAATTGAGGAAGTCAATCTGAAGGGTTGAGGATGAGAAGGAGGAGAAGTGAATCTCATCGGACGAGGCCAGTTGGACCTACTGAACTCCCAACAACATGGCTAAAAACCTCTTGTGATGTCTCCTCTCAGTTCACCTCTGCTTGAAACGAAAGCAAAACTAAAACGCTCGCTCAGTGCGTGGCAGGTAGTCCTCGCTACTTAGCGACCAAGGGATTTGAAGTTCTGTCCGTCAAACCAGCTTCAAAGCGACCCGATGGGTTTTGGGGTGCTTGGCAACTAATTCAGGCTGCACCAATGCATTTGTATTTTCTGTAAGCCGCCCAGAGTCCTTCGGGATTGGGCGGCATATAAATTTATTAAATACTAAATACTAAATTCACATTTATGGCCATTTGCAGAGTCCCTGCCAAATGTTATTTGGGTTTTGCTTAGTGACGTTGCAAAAGAAAAAAATGTCATAAAGCCAAGCACGGACCTTCCTAACAACCTGAACAAACAACAACCACAATTCCTGGCTTAATTATGGTTGTTAAGTCAAAGATGGCCTGTGGTCTTTTTCTTGAAAAGAAAAACACAGCAGCAGTTCCAATTGACACACACATTTATGACGGTTTCAGAGTTCCGGGAGTCACATGACCCCCTTCTGCCACCTCCAGACAAGCAAAGTCCACGGGGAAGCCAGATTCACTTAACAACCGTGGCAAGTAAGGTCGTAAAACGGGGCAAATTTAACTTAACAAGCGTCTCGTTTAACAACAACAACAAAATATTGGGCTCAACTGCAGAACCCATCTTTTGATTTGTAAAATGGGACACCCCCCCAGAATCGCAGCCTCAATAGCTCCATCTCCTCGGAGGGGGAGAAAGAGAGCAGGGAGGAAACAGGCCAAGGGACAACCCCCCCCCCAACCCCCCCCCCCCAGTGGCTCCCCCGCGGGGGGGGGGGAAAAAGAGAGGAGGGGGGAAACAGGCCAAGGGACAACCCCCCCCCCAACCCCCCCCCCCCAGTGGCTCCCCCGCGGGGGGGGGGGAAAAAGAGAGGAGGGGGGAAACAGGCCAAGGGACAACCCCCCCCCCAACCCCCCCCCCCCAGTGGCTCCCCCGCGGGGGGGGGGGAAAAAGAGAGGAGGGGGGAAACAGGCCAAGGGACAACCCCCCCCCCAACCCCCCCCCCCCAGTGGCTCCCCCGCGGGGGGGG